ATAGAAGTGGCAAAGACAACACCATTACTAGAAAGATCAGATCAGAAGTAAACAATAAAATATGTATTTTGATTGTATAAAGTATGTTGGCATGTAAGAAATGTAATAATTTGTTAGTTACAAACACTCTGATCGACTTTTCTAATGTTTTTAACGTATTTAAGTGAATGAAAATGTATAGTAATGAATGGTTAAATTTTTATGAGTTTTACGTACATTTTACGGAAGTATTGTAGCAGTAATGTAGCAGGGGAATCAGTTCCCTATTTGTAATCTAAAAATTTTGTGTAATCAGTACTGTAGCATATTACTGTTCACGGTACTGTTCATACAGTATAATATTGTTCATAAATACATTTTTATCTCAAAATTTTATACCGAATATAATTTAATAATATATTATCATATTTTCTTAAAATAAGTTCAAATGTTTTGTTATTTGATAAACACATTGTTTTAAAAAGGCAATGTGACATCTCGGACTCGTATTCTGGTCGGGTACGAATTGAGGGTGTTACAATAGTTGCTTGTTAAGTTTACTTGCAAAAAAATAATACAAAAAATGATAGCAATAAGTTGAACTTACTTACAAAATATGGTAGCAATATGTAAGTTTACTTACAAAAAATTGCAACAAGTCTAAGTTTACAAAAGATGATAGATGCATGTCCAAATTCACAAAAAATGATAGCAACATATCCAAACTTCCATACATAGCACCTATCAGAAAGAATAAAATTAAATTATTCTATAAAAAAGCATGAAATCATTCTAAATATGGAGTAAAAGAATATAAGATTAACAAATTCAAATATTAAACCTTTTAATTTGTCACATTATTGATTCTTTCGAAGGTATTGATATAATAATTTCTTTCGGTTGTTTGTCATCATGCTGCAATAATTTAAAAAAATAAGTCTACATATGTTTAAAAAAGTAAACAAACTTTGTTATAAGAAAATACATTTACCTTATTATTTCTTTTCACTCCATAAAGGGATCTACACCAATCACCAAAACACATAAACATTTGAACTATTTCTGAAGTAAGAAAAGACCTATAAGGATCTATTACACGACTTCCAGCACTAAATGTGACCTCAGAAGCCACAGTAGTAATAGGAATATCCAATACATTTATTGTTATCCTAGATAAAATGCGAAATTTGTTTGACTTCTCATTCCACCAAGCAATGACATCAAATTTCCCATCTTGACTAAAGATGCACCTCTCATCCAAATATGAATTAAATTTAGACTTCACACGTGGTACAGATGTTTCCCCACTAAAAACGTCTTGCAAAAGCTTATACAAATCACCAGATGTAACATCACCTCCATGAACATCCATAGAAAATGCATGTTCTTCACTTTCTTCCACATTACAATATGAAGAATACATCGTCAAATTTTCATCAAAAAGTTGATACATGATGTCTTTGACCTTACTAATGTTCTCCCTAACTAAAAGTGATGGAAACATTTTGGGAAATGTAATTTTTACCGCCCTCATTTTCAGTCAGGATCCAATACTAAATATATTGCATTAACAAATTGCATTCACCCCAATACTTGTGAAACCTCTCTTTCATGTTATCAACCATATTCTTAACAAAATCATCAGTAAACTCAAATTTTGAATCCAACAACACTTTAATTCTTTACACCTCCCCAAGAAACATGTTAGAAGTTGGATATTCAGAGCCTGATATAATGTTAGTAGTGGCTTTAAACACTTTCAAAATTTCAAGCAGTTTTTCAATTTTTCTCCACTCATCATCGTCAAGAGAATGCTTATAATAATGATCATGCAAAGCATATCTAGGGAATACCTTTATGAACTTGATAGCACAATCCAACATGCCATATGTAGAATTCCAACGTGTCTTTTGCATTCAAGAATCAATTTTCGGTCTTGCACATTGTATTGACTAACAAGTTCACCAAATCGTTTGAGTCGTGCATCACTTGCATTCAAGAAGTCAACTGTGTCATGAACTTTTTCAATGATGCTTTGCACTTGTTGGAGACCATGTTGTACCATTATGTTAAGAATATGCGCACAACAACGAACATGCAATATTTTTCCACTGCAAAGAAGTCTTCCATTTATTGCAAAATTGTCCTTCAATATCTTAATACAAGAATCATTTGTTGATGCATTATCCACTGAAATTATGAAAACCTATAAAAAAAACAAATAAAAATATTTTAGTATTATATAATCATAACAAAAAGACAAATACTACTAATTAATAAGTATATTAAAATAAAAATAATATAAGCACACTTACTTGTCTTCAATTTCTCACTCCTTTAAACATGTTAAAATGCAATCAGCAATATTAGCACCTTTTCTTGGAGGCGGCAAATTAACAAAATTGAGTACCCGCTTTTGAAGCTTTCAATCAAGATCCACAAAATGAGCTGTTAGAACCATGTATTCAATTTTTTGTGGCTTAGATTTCCACAAATTTGTAGTCAAGCTAATTCGATCCGCTTTTTTCAACAAAGCTTTTAACTTTTTCTTCTCAAACTCATAAACTTTGAATGAGTCATTTCTTATAGTAACTCGAGAAACACTAGTCCATTGTGACATTCTTCGTTTTATCATCAAATTAAATCCTTCCTCCTCCACAATACTAAAAGGATGTTCATGCACTGTGATCCAATGAGCTATAGCCTCTCTCATGTTCAACATGTCAATTTTACCATCATGTAAAGCACTAACAAATCCAGATTGATTCGTATCAATGCTTGAATTAGACGGTAATAAATTAATTAACTGTTGTTTCTTAAAGAATATTGACTTCTTTATGCAAGTATCCAAATGTCGTTTCAAATGAGAATTGCTCTTAGATTTCAAGACAAAAAGAGGATGTTTGCAATACTTACACCTTACTTTACATTGTTCGTTTATGATTTCAGGTTCTAAGAAATCATTCCACACCTTTGATCTTCTTGGTCTCTTAAAGGCTTGGAAAGGATTTTCAACCTCAACTTCTTTTGTTGTGGTGTCAACAGCAGGTTCAGAAGCTTCTATATTGCACTCTTCTTCTTCATTAAGAACATTATCTCTGTTATGTTCATCATCAACATTCATTAAAAACTCTTCAACTCTTGAAACACCAATGGGTGTTGAAGAACTTTGTGGTTCACTAGACATCTAAAAAAACAAATGACAATATAAATAAAAATTTAAAGGAATATTTATTTAAAGATAAACAAACTCATAATAAATAATAAAAAATAATAAATATTTTTTTTAATCGAACCTCATTATACAAACCAACTTAATCATAATTTCGCTTAATCATTTCTAGGTATTCGTAACATAAACATACAATTTAGTTTTAATCTTTACATGCTTAGTAATTTATGCTAATTATTATTATTTTGATGGTTCATTGATTCTGAATTTAGTATTTAAAGGGTTACAGCGAATAGGCTTAGCTTTACAAATAACATTTCCTTTATTTCTATTTAAACCTCAAACTAAACTCTACAAATAATGTTTATTTTGTTCCTATTTAGTTGTCCCAAGCCTCAATCTAATAATATTTGTACATACCTCCATTTATATAATAATATTTTACCACTGTAAACAATGAATCCTAAAAAAATAAGTTATATTTTGTAGAACTGAAAATTGGGGTTTCCAAATGAAGACAACCACAAACGACGATTGATCATAGAGACCTACGAGTGAATACGACGATAAGCTATTGCCAATACTCTAACCCATCAATGAAGAATTTAAAAAAGAAGACTAAGAGAGATAAGAGTTTAAACCCTAAAAATTAAAAAAAAAGAAGAGAGAAATAAGACGGTGATTAAAAACGGTTGGCAAATGACAGTAACGACGACCAACTATTAATGGTCGCTACCACTTCCGATGAAAGCTTGAAAACAAAAAGTTCATAGTGAGTTCAAGGTTGCGTGAAGCGTGATATTCTAACTACTGAATATTGTTGCTGTTTGAAACTTTGAATCATAAAGCTCTAATAAAAAGTTGAAAAAAAATCAACTTAATTTAAAAAAATTAAAATTTGAGTATAGTTGTATTATAGAATTTTTAATATATTTTTAAAATTTTATAATTATCAATAATGTATTTTTAATAATGTAAATTTAAAAAATATAAAATTATAATATAACATTTTTTTCGAGTAGCTCGCGAGCTTTTCGAGTCGAGTATTAAGTAGCTGATTTTAGTTCGTTAAGAATTCGAGTCGAATTCAAGCTCGAGTCAAGTTCATTCGATTCGAGTATTGATCGAGCTTTGACCGAGTCGATCTCGAATAGCTCGCGATCTATCTCGTCTCATTTACATCCTTACTAGAAGTTACGAGGGCAGGAAATGAACTTTAAGCCATTGGGGTTTTCCGGTATTTTATGTGCTCTTTTCACTTTGATTCCAGTCTAACAGCTACAGTTAATTTGCTAGTGGCCATCTCCGGATTTTCCATCATTTTTTAAGAATTTCAAATAATTAAATAAGTAAATTTTATATTTAAGGTGGGTTCGTTTTATTGTTATCGATTTAAATTTTTTATTTATTTTGTTGTTGTTTAATTTAAGTAAAAATAATTATAACTTACGAAAAAAAGGCCAATCTTTATAAAATAATTTTTTATGTAGTTTTCGTGAATTATTTCCCCGATTCGTTCATTATTTTTATCAATTTATAGTGGAGTGAATAATATAATTTATTATAATTAAATAGCAATTATTTTTCAAAAATTATAATTCAATTTACAAGATTCATTTTTTGAAATATGCCTTTAATGAAACAAATATATTTCAGCCTAAATTGATGATTATTAAAAGTAATAAAACAGGGTATTCTTACAATGACCAAAATCACAAATTAGCATACTCGTGTTGAAAAAAACACACAGAACCCTACGGTTTCTAGCTGTATTCCAATTCAAGCATACAACATCATGTGACTATCAAGTATCAAATCAAGATGGAAATCTGAACCCTTTAGGCTTCGATTAAAAATTGAAGTGACATTAAGAGACATAATATTTAGAATCCAGCAATGACAATTGCAACTGCCACAATAGCAGCTTGTTCAGATGATACATGCCCATGCAGCCATACGTGACTCACCTATTCTTTTTTGCTTCAGCAAGAACCAGCAGAATAAAACAATAGACCGGTGAAGAACTCGAGATGATCCAGCAAGCCTATACGCAAATAAAAGAAGGGAAAATCACATGATAAACAGCAGTAAAATGTTCCAAAGAAAAAATTATGCACCTCAGCATCTTTCCGCTCTTGGTGTTTTGTTTGAGAGAGGACCATTGAGAAAGCACGCTTGCGTTCAATCTCCTCATGTTGATACATGCAGGGTCAGTTAAATGTTTTTCATACTCCTCATGTCTGTTTCTGATAACATCAACAGACTGCACCACACCAGACAAACAGACAAACATGCTCAATTGCATGAACAAACAAATGCATAAAAGCAAAATGATAAAGGAAAATAGATATAGCATCAAGTAGTTTGTAATAAATATAGACAGGCAAAAGAATATAAAAAAACTATGCACACCTTGTTATACTTAGCGAAGGAATAATCCCCTGTCGGTGGAGAGCCATTTACGACTCTCACCTGAAAGGAATAAGAGATACTTAAGACCTTTAAAAATACACACTTACTTAAGGGGAAGTTTTATCTAGAAACAGAGATTTTACCCAGTGGTAAAGTTGCAAGTCACCCTTTCGGGCAGAGCTTGTGAAAGGAAGCCACTGTCATGTGATCTGAAGAGAATTTAAAAAATAATTAAGAAGCCAACCTTAAACCATAGCATGGACCGCCATTTGACAGTTGCCTGCACTACTCTTTTCTTGTTTGAACAAAACTCCCAAGAGTTCAAGACGTGCAAAGTTAGATCCATGAAACTCAATTTTAATCTTTTATTCATCAAACACACAAACACACATATACATGTATCTATGTATGTATAGAGTCTGCATCCCAATCTACTTTATTTAGTTCAATAAACTACTATGAATAAAACTTTTATGTTCATTTAATAAACGAATGAACACAAACAAATGTATGCTCGATTTGTTTATGTTCAGTTGAATATAGAGTGATTTTTTAAGTTCATTGAAAGCTCGATTGTTTATTCTTTTATAACTCGTTTACCGAATCGTCTATGAGGAGAAATATGTATAATAAGAGGGAGTGGAAAGCAATAAAGCATAGCGAGCAACATTAATCTTGAGCATCTTGGACCAGTGATCAACATGGTTTAACTGCATTGATTGCGAAGACACGACTCTTATATACGACAAGAGAAGGGACTTGTTGGAAGCAATAGCATATCAGCACAGAGTAGAGCGAACCTTCATGCAAAATCAAATTCCTTCTATTCGAGAGGTTCCACGGTAAGATCAGAGGCAGGTTACAATTTGTGCAGTCAAGCATGACATGAAATTAAAAAATAATTACACTCTACAAATCAAACATATCTAAAGATTTAAAATTTATTATAATTATGCTAATTCACATTTATTGTCTAAACAATAAATGTCAAGTACACCATTCTTACCAAGCATGAAAAGATCACGAACATTATTTTTACATATTAGCTTTGATCTCATTCCAACACGAAGTTCATCCAAGCATGATAAGATCACAAACGTTATTTTTCCATATGTTTAGGTGACAATTATAATTTACAGGTTTTATTGAGAATATCTAATTATATTCTTCAATTTTTAAGAATATAAGTGATCAATGTCAATATCTTATCTATAATTATCTTTTAGGGTAGACACATATATATTAACAATTTAAATTTTGTGTGTGAAGTGGGTACAAACAAAATAATCATTGCTAACGTAAGCGGTGACAGCATTGGTGATAGAAAAAGAAGTCCTTGAACAGCATTGGTGATAGAAAAAGAAGTCCTTGAACAGGAAAATTCGATTCCCCCCCCCCCCACTCAAACGTTTACTTGGTAGACTTCACACGGCTGCTGTATTTCATTTGTGAATGATAATTGGTATGCCATAATAAATATTAGAGTCAATTATAAAATATTTTATTTTCAAGTAAATTAATGCGTACTTATTTATTTAACATACGAGCTAAACAGAAATAAATATTTTTTAATAATTTAAAATAATTATAAGATAATATTTATCTTGAATCTTTCTTAACCATTAACGACACATATTTTTTTATCTCTTTATTAATTTACATTCGATTCTACTATTAATTGTTGATCTGATAGCTATAAAAGGGTAAAATAAATTCAGTCTCCATATTTAAATTTTGTATCTATTTGACTCTAAATCTTAAAGAAATATTTTTAATTAAACAATATAGTTTTATAACCATCTACATTTATAACTTTTTTAAGGGTAAAACGATGACCATTGTAAACATAGAGGACTAAAAATTATTTTGCGTCTTTTCATCTGTCGGGTTAACAATTAACGATGAAATTTAATAAAAACTAGGAGAGAGATCAAGATTTTCAAATAAAAATAGAATATGTACTCAATTTCATAAAAATACAGTATGAAGATAAAATATAAATATTAAAGTAATATAAGGACCACTGAAAAATTTAAACCTTTATTTTTATTTTGGCATGATATCAAAACTCACCCTTAACATTGTCTAAATAATCTTTTTGACCTCAATTCAAACCTTCAACGTTTTTATTTTAAAAAAGATGATCATTGTCTCGAATAGAAATGATTAGTTGACCAATAATCAATACTAATTGTTGATATGTATTTTCACGTATGTTTAATTTTTGATGTGACATATATTAATCATAAAAGGTGATGACGTAATATTTATTACGTCAATAAATAATTACATGCGCAAACATCACATTAGCAACGGACATTAATAATTAACCTTTGGTAAATTCTATTTAATTTTTTATTGTGATTAAAACTAAAATATTGAGAGTTAAAATACTTTAAAAAAAATAATTATTTATTTTAAATACTAGGGACGAGTTTTGATATTATTCCTTTTTATTTTTGAAGTTCGTAGGGTGTGAAAGCGAAGGGACGGCGGTGTAGTTAGACTTCAGCGGGGAAGTTTGGTTTATGGCAGTTTTGCTCGAATCCTACCAGATAAATAATTGGGTAAAGTACACAAATGGTACCTTAACTATATAATATTTCTTTATTAAACCTTTCAACTATTAAAAATTATAAAATGATCCTCTGACTATAAAATGTTGCTTTGTTGAGTCTCGACTATTAAAAGTTACAAAATGATCACCCAACTATTCATTATGTTCTAAACTCTCCATTTTCGTTAAAAATTTGACGGTATTCTGAGCTGAATGTTAACCTGTTGACTATGATAGGATAAAACATGATCCTAGAATCTCAAACGACTATAATATCTCAGTCATCATATTAACATCCAGCTTAGACAACCACATATTTTTTTTATGGAAAAGAATGAGTTTGGTATATAATGAATAGTCGGGTGACCATTTTGTAACTTCTAATAGTCGAGTGACTCAACAAAATAACACTCTATAATCAGATGATCATTTTATAACTTTTAATAGCCGAATGACTTAATAAAATAATATCATATAGTTGAGGGACCATTTGTGTACCTTATCCTAAATAATTTTCTTTCCCCCTCAAATTTTAAATAATTTATTAGATGTTTAGTCTTGGTACAAAATAGTATGCCTAATCTAGAACCCCCAAGTTGCATAACACTCACGAGGGCTAATTCTTTTATTAAAGTTAAGATGTGGAAAATGAAAAAAAGAAAATATGAAAATACATATCTACTACATGACAATTGACAACATGGATTGAAACGGATTTTACCATTCTTTTTAGATTTAAAAAATAGGATTTTTTTTCGATAAAAAGATTTAAGTTAGGAGTGGCTCCTCAGTCCAAGCCAGAGCATACCTAAGATCAAGTGGGATTTACATAAGAATTTACAGATTGTCCATCAAGAGTGACGGTGGTAGAATTTGAATTTGAGTTTACAAGCTCAAATTACTGAATTAAATAGGAGTTTTTTTTAAAATATTAATAATTCTACTTTTTAAAAATAGTTTTTTAAAAAATAATTATAAACGTGTGACATTTTTTATTTCTAAATATTTTTAACTACTTTCACAATTTACCTTAAAATATTAAGGGAAAAAACTTTAAGCACTACTTTGATTAGAAAAAATTAAACATATATATTTAACAAAAGATATAGTTTAAATTCTTATTTCAATTAAATTTTATAACTAGATTTAATGAAATCAAAGTATACCTATTTGATTATCAACATAATCAAAATAGTTGATCATTTGAAATTTGATTAAGAATCAGTTCGATCGAATATAAAAATTTTATAGTTATCCGATGATTGTTTATATTGATATATTTGAAGAAAAAAAATCAAAGGAAAAAGGAGCTAGCATAGTTGAGCAATGCAAATGATATTATTTTCATGATATACTGTAATGTTATAGCTCATATGTCAACCTGAATATTGTAGCGTGAAACATTTACATTCCAAAAGTCCTCAGATTTTGTGGTGTTTAACGTTAGATACTCTTACTTGATAGCAAAAAATGGTGAAAATGTTTAAAATACAAGGCTTGATATTATGCTACGTCGGGTATGTTAATTCAAATCATCGTCATAAAGCTGCTGTCTTAGGAACCAAATATTCTCTTCATTCCACACACTCTCCATCGACTCTCCACCATCTATGTTCCATAAATATTCCGAGCGTGAACCCGACCTGGTTTGCAAGCTACACGGGTAGTTCGACACGTCTGATGAAGTGCCAGATAATTCGGGCAAGACACTCGAGTCAACTTGGACCGACCCACTCGTATCTTCATAGCTGATCTGGCTCGTGGTTATGTTGCCGTAGGCGGTGGTGGAGGGTTGACCGGAGGGGGATTCCGATGAAGCACAGATTCTTTCAATTAGACGGGGAATCCAAACGCAACGCATGGCGTCCCTGAAATCTTTGCTGTTAACGTCACATTTAAGCTGCTTTGCCTCTTTCTGGACTCTTGTTCTCCAGTAGTTCTTAATCTCATTGTCGGTCCTCCCAGGCAGTTGTTGTGCGATTTTCGACCATCTTCATCATCAAAACCAGACAACAAGTCAATCACATGTTTGTTGAATTTGAAATAAAAGCAAAAATGGGATTCAAAGTAAAAAAACCTGTTGCCCCATCGATAATGGAGTTGAAGAATCAACAGTTGTTCTTGGAGACTGATGTTCCCACGTCTCACTTCTGGTCTCAAATAGTTTAGCCATCTTAATCTGCAGCTTTTACCGGTTCTTTTTAAACCCGATAAGCGAGCAACCGAATTCCATCGACCTTCACCGTGAAGATTAACATACGCCTTGAGCGTGAAGTCCTCTTCTTCGGTCCACGGACCTTTCCTTACGTCCATCTCTTCTTCACTTTGTGGAGTTTCGGATACGAAACTACTCTCGTAAGCATCCATTTGGAGAAGATGAAGACTTTGGGTTTATTGTTGAAGATATAAAGGATGAACTTACAAGGAATACGAGAGCAGAGAGGATTATATAGAGAGAGCGGCAAAGATGGGGTTGACTACAAAAAGTAAGCAATGATTTCCCTTTATTCTTTTTTATCATGATAAACAAGGGGAGCATGTATGTGACCAAAAGTAGAATTGGCGACTTTTGTGAATTTTCTATTCGGCTTTTGACTCTCTGACTCTTCCATAATCTTTATATTCGTCGCCTACAAGCACAAATTGGACAAAAGATTTGAATTTGAAATATGGAGACCGAGCATTAGTCCACGAGGGAAAAAATGAAGTTTTCTCCAAGGCAAGTTGTCTTTGTTTTATCATTACATACTGCCGTGGTTTGCAGCATGTGAAGATGGTGAAAAAGAGAAGTTTTCTGTTATACTGATTGATGATATGAAATTTATTACGTTACAAAAATTACAGTATCTCTGGGAGAATACATATTTGATAAAATATTTTTGCAGCTTATACAACTTACACCAAGCTAAATGCCGACTGTAGTGTAGATGAAAAACGAGAAGTAATGGTCCTAGTGGAAAATGCTTGGATCTTGTTCCTGGTATCTGAATTTACAGAGAGAAAAGCAAAAGCAGCTTTTAAGATCATAGAAATGACATTAACTGCAGGGGAGAATTAGCTTCCTGCACCAGAGATAATCAATTATGACTGCCATTATGTATAATATAAGCATATAACTCATCACTCTTTAGCATCCTATAACGGCATCGAGACTATTATGATCGGAAATGGCGGAAGTCTTGTACCTTCACGACATTTGGTAAATCCGATGATGTTGGCGATGGCGAGGCTGAAACAAACTCCCACAACTAGGAGATAATCAACTTCAAGTCTCGCCATTGAAAATATCCCAAAGATGGCCCAAGCAACAGCATGAAGAATAACAAATAAGGTAAGAGATAGCCAGGAAACCCTTTTTACTTGCATTCGATTTTTCCTAATGATTACTTGCATTAAGATACAATGTCCACCAAAATAGCCAGGAATCCTTTTGGTTAATGCGGGCTAACGACTGCACAGAGTGGGGAAATATCAAACAAGGGAATTGCAAATCAGCAGATAGGATAACCAAATGTAACCTTAATGTACATAAACAAACCTCTTGGTCAAGGCACTCAAATCTCCACATGCTCTCACTTTTCTCGTTTATTTCATTCCACCACCTTAGCCCGACTAAGATACGGTCGCTAATGTTCTTGACGACCCAAAAATCAAGAGCAGCAAGCACGACGGTGACGACAAAGATAATGACAAAAACTATCGGCAAAGAGTGTCGAAAGGATGTAAAATGCCAAAGCTGAAGCCTGTCAAAATGGGAGACACGAAACGGTTGTACTAGTGGGAAATCAAATCAAGCTATTCTCTGAAACAGCAAAATTATTATAGTGATCACCTTGAAGAGCACGTGGAAGAAGCATGTTTTGGGGTTGGCATAGTTTTCTTCTACGGGCTGTAATCATGTAACAGACATGTACATTGTTGAAAACAAAATCGTAAATTCCAAGAAACCAGAATGTAACAATGATGATTTGAGAAATCAAATGGCATGAAATTTTACGGGGCTTAGATCCATGACAGAGATGAATATTCAACGAAGATTGTGACACTTCTTTCTTCATGAACCTTTCATGGATTATAGAGGAAACAGGGAGAACAAGTCTGTAGGAAGGGTCAGGGCCTATACTAATGGCTCTTCTCGCTCCTATAAAATTTCCCTGTTTCTCGCACGAAACGTTGTTAGTTTTTCGACAAAATGGACCTAGTTGAGGCCTGAGGCCTTTGCTATTATGCTAAGAATAAACCATGCACTAAACCATTCGAAAACCATCTTAGGCCTGAGCCACAGTATTAAAAAAAATTGGGTCTTAACTTCGGTCAAACAACTATTTTATTTCCAAAACAGGACAGGTGAAAGCTGATAGCTTGCTAAATTCTATCCCTTACAACAGTAGTTAGGTTAAACAAATAAGTAAATACAATATATCAATCTATATATATATACACACAGCGATTTACAAAAATTGTTCGGTGCCGTACAACCTTGGTAAGTGAGTGGAGACGAAGTTATTCGTCATAAAGCTGCTGTCTTAAAAACCAAATATTCTCTTCATTCCACACACTCGTCATCGAATCTCCACCATCTGTTACCTCTAATCCAACCCAATCATCGTTATTCCAAGTGTCTGCTAAATTTTCGGAGCACAAACCCGAGCCGTTTTCTAAGCTATACGCGTAGTCTGAAACGCTCATGAGTGGATTGCAACATTCCGCCAGGTCCGAAACGAACGAGACTTGGGCATCCTGGGAGTCTGATGAAGCGCCTGATAACTCCGGCAAGACACTCGGGTCAACTTGGACCAACCCCATTTTTGTATCTGCATGGCTGATTTGACCGGTGACAGTGCTGCTGATACTATCCATGAAAGTAGCAGTGCCGGTGCTGGATGAAGCACCGATTCTTTCAATTAGACGGGGAATCCAAACGCAACGCATGGCGTCCCTGAACTGTTTGCTGTTAACGTCACATTGAAGCTGCTTCGCCAGTTTCTGGACTCTCGTTCTCCAATAATTCTTAATCTCATTGTCGGTCCTTCCAGGCAGTTGTTGTGCGATTTTGGACCATCTTCATCATCAAAACCAGACAACAAGTCAATCAATTACATGTTTGTTGAATCTGAAATGAAAGCCAAAATGGGAGTCAAAAGTAAAAACCTGTTGCCCCATCGAGAATGGAGTTGAAGTATCAGCAGCTGCTCTTGGAGACTAATGTTTCCACGTCTCAGTTCGGGTCGCAAATTGTTCATCCACCTCAATCTGCAGCTTTTGCCGCTTCTCTTTAATCCTATACACATCTATCATGTCAGTATCACGACAAATCATACAGAAAAAAGACTTAAAAACGATGGGGTTTTTAACATTGTATATGGATTAACCTGATAAAACAGCAACTGAATTCCAGCGACCTTCTCCGTGAATATTGACATGTGATTTGAGCATCAAGTCTTCTTCTTCGGTCCATGGACCTTTCCGTACATCCATGTCAGTTTGTGGAGTTTCAGATACTAAACCTCTCTCGTAAATATCCATTTGTGAACTCAGCACTGGTTAATCAAATAAGGGTATGAATCTAAGAGAGATGAGCTTGCTTACTATAGGTTAGTAAGAGTAGATGGGATTTATATAGAGACAGCACTGAGCAGTTAGTATTTTTTTCCCCTCAAAATTAGAACGCGCAACGACTCATTGGTTTCCGATTTGACTTCAAGTTGACCGTCTGACTTTTCTACGTCATTTTTCCACGCACCCAACTTTGCAAAACATTTTTAATATGGAGTACAAAAACGATAGTGTTTCTTTTGGGTAAACTACGTATTTAACATCTAAATTATCAGTTTTGTTATATTTTAGTATCTAAACTTTCAATTTTTTTCATAATTATATCCAACGTTTAGTTTTTATTTCATTTTTAGTATTCTGTCGTTTTAAAATTTAGGCGGTGTTTGTTTTTGCAGAGGTAAAAGGTTTACAGTCTGCGGTCCACATCTGCAGGCATCTGCAGCAGAAGAGGTGGACCAAAAGTCTGCAGTCTGCAAGAAGAAGACTGTTTATTTTTTAACGTATGTAGACTGCTAAAATAAACTGAAATATAAATAAACTGATTTTTTAAACTTAAAAGAGTTTTGCAATACTGAAATTTAAATAATTTTAGTTTTATAATATTGAAATTTAAATAATCCATACAACTACAATAATAATTTTTTTAAAATAAATCAATCCAAAATTTAAAATAAATCAATCCATATTTTAAAATAAATCAATCCATATTTTAAAATAAATCAATCCATATTTTAAAATAAAATTTTCTATATTTTAAAATAAATCAATCCATATTTTAAAATAAATTAATCCATATTTTAAAATAAATCAATCCATATTTTAAAATAAATCAATCTATATTTTAAAATAAATCAATCCATATTTTAAAATAAATTTTCCATATTTTAAAATAAATCAATCCATATTTTAAAATAAAATTTTCCACATTTTAAAATAAATCAATCCATATTTTAAAATAAATTTTAAAATAGATTTAAATAATTTTAATTTCTTTGAAGAGGTTTGAAGACATTTGAAGACATAAAACCATGTCTGCACCAAGAAGACCTCGCGCAGACGTTAGAAGAGCTTTTGTATTCTAAAAACAAACGGTCTGCGAAGCCAAATGTCTGCGCGACGCAGACATAAGAGCTTTGCAGACCTTACACAGTAAAAACAAACACACCTTAATGTGTTTAGTACATAAACTATCATTTTCGGTCATTTTATTACCTAAACTTTCAAAAAAATTTAAAATTTAACGTTAAATTTTGAACGGATACTAAAATAAAATTAAAAAAAAACTTTAAATATGATTTCAATAAAAAAATAAAAGTTAAGATACTAAAACGTATCAAAAGTGATAATTTATACACTAAAAGTAAAATTTACCTTTTTTTTAGGATCATAACGACGACAAGTTGTCTTTGTTTATTATCAGAGATCCTATAGTTTCATCGTGTTAAGCTGCGGTAGGCCTGTAAATGAACTGAACGTTCAACGAACCGTTCATGAATCGTGCGGCGAGAAGTTCGTTTATGTACGTTTATTTATTAAATGAACGAACATGAACAAGATTTTTTGTTCGTTTAATTAAATGAACAAACATGAACATAAGTTTCGTTCGTTCATTTACGTTCGTGAACGTTCGATTATGTTCGTTTGGTTATGTTCGTTTATGTTCGTTCGATTATGTTCGTTTATGTTCATTCATTTATGTTTAACCCAATCTTCTTAAATCAATTTTGGTGACCAATTTGTAAGTATCTTAAAAATATTAATCTGATATTCTGATGACCAACTCCATAATTAACCCAATTTTATTTGGAGATTAAATCCAATATGTTAACATGTGAGGCACCTCGCTCTTATATTCATTTTCTCCATTTTTTCCCCAAATCTTATTGTTCACTGGAGAGTGGAGACGATCTCTGAAAGATTCAAAACAAGTTATATTATAGTGCAATATGAAGTTTTACAGGTCTGTTTTCATCTTTCTCTGTTTTATTTGACTTAATAGTTGATATGTAAAGTTATTGTGGGTATCTTCACATCTAAAACTCAAGAAAACATAATACTTCTTTCTAGAAATAGATGAGAAGATAAAGGTAAAAATCGGAAGTATATGAACATCAGTAAAAAGAAAAATATATAGAATTTGCCAGAAAACAAAACAAATGTTTCTATGCAATTTTTGAAAAAGAGTGTAATAGCGGAAAATGATTGTTCATATGTAATCATGGAACACTAAGATAAATGTTATATCGTTAAATTAAAGTCGTGTGAATCATTTAATATCTTTAAAAGATCGATCAAAATATTTGATATCTTCAAACATTTCATCACTGCTAATAAGCTCTTACGTTATTTATCACTGTAGATTTGATTGATTTGCATTGTCGACTATTTTTCATGAAAGAACAATGGAAGATAGGGTCTCCAACGTTTATGTTCGTTTATGTTCGTATTCATTTATGTTCGTGTTCGTTTATGTTCGTTTATTTATTAAATGAACGAACATGAACAAGTTATATTCCTTAATAAACGAACATGAACAAAAAAAATTTGTTCGTTTATGTTCGTGTTCGTTTATGTTCATTTATTTATTAAATGAACGAACATGAACATACATTCGTTCGTATGCGTTCGGTTCGTTTACAGCATAAGCTTCGGTTTACAACATGTGAAATTAATGGGCCATGGTTTCAATGCCCAGATTTCATATTATTCCTTTCCTTAAACCTTTTAGGTTCATGCTAACCACCTTTTTACGGGGCTAAGCATTTCTCCACTTACGAGTAAATATATTAACGTCGTTTCAATCACGAAATATAATATTATTTTTATAACAAAAAATATTAAATTATTTATGATTTAGTATGTGTGTTAGTTTAATTACAATATCAAAATTATTATTTGATTGATATTTCTAGAGCAATTAAAAGTATATTTTATTAAATTGTTATTTTTATTCTTTATAATAAATTTAATTTTATATTATTTTCAAATTTTAATGTATTAATTATATTTTATTAATGTATAAAGTTCAAATATTACATTATAATAATTTTAAAAAAATATTTAATATATAAAAAAAGACATAAAATGAATGGGAAAAATTAGACCAAAAATATTAAAAAATTGTTTATAAAATATAGGCACATGTCACCAAAATAAAGACAATTTAGATGATGAAAACATTACAACAAAGTACACTGCATAGAATGTGTTGATCCTTCAAGTGTCAAGTCCGAAAAGTTTATCCAAAAATATCTGAAAAAAGGGAAGTTTGGGGAGTGACTATGACTATCAATGAGACGAGACAGATCACGAGCTACTTGAGATCGTCTCGGTCAAAGCTCGATAAATACTCGACTCGAATAGACTTGGCTTGAGCTCGACTTGAATTCTTAACGAGCAGAAATGAGTTACTTAATACTTGACTCGAAAAACTCGTGAGCAGCTCGAAAATATAATATATTAAGATTTTATAAAATAATAAATTATTAATAATATTAAATTTTATGTGTTGATTTTTTTTAAATGTAGAATAAGGTTTTCATGTATTTAAGGTTTAGGTTCGAGTTTAAGTTTGAGGATTCAATCAAGTTAGGTTTAAGATTTTTTTTTCATTTCGAGCTTTTACGAGCTTTAGTTCATGATTTTGAGTTCGAGTTGAGCTTGAAAATTTTATGCTCATGAGTTTTCGAGTCGAGTCGAGCTCTATTTCAGAGTTTTCGAGTCGAGCTCGCTCGACTCGGCTCGTTTACAGTCCTAGGAGTAATCTAGGGAACTTAGTGTGTTCCAAAAGTGCAGTATAAAACATACGAGTAAGTTTTAATATTCAGCAATTGACAGTAAAGTTTTTCATAAGACCACTTAGTTAACCTCCAACCGTACACCGATATGCAGTTCTCCAAAACTGCATCCATATGGACTTATCCTATACTCATTAGATATAGGATCCAACTTAAAGGAGTACCTTGGACGATAAAAACTTACCCTGACCGAAGCGTAGGAGCCTACCTGAGGAAGTGCCTTAGGTCTATAAGGACATACTCTATGAATGTTGGATATACGAGCCGGGGGTGAATTAGGATCCATAAGATCTTACCCAATGCTCATTGGGCTTAAGAGCTTACCCAAGGATCGCCTTAAGTAAATCACCAATTTGATCGAAGATGAACATATTAGACTTCATATCACATCCGAGGGAGTACCCCAATAACTCAATTTTAGATAATACCAATAGAATCAGGAAAATATAAGTCAAACATATTTGTTTTATATTAAAACCGATAATCAGAGAATATATATTATGTAAATTAGAAATTAATATTTTAATCATATAAACTAATTTATAAATCAAATCAGAATAAAAAATCATATTTTAAAATCGAGAGAATATTCATGTACACATGATAAGAAAGATTGCTTTAGGAATGTTGCATTATCCGAATAAAATGGGGTAATAAGATTACCTCTATATTTTCAAATCTTTAAATTATAAGATTAACCATAATCTTTACGATAATATTATGCTAAAATGTAAGATGATATGAACCAAACGTCCCTAGGCATGTATGTAACAGTAAATATTTAATACATTAACAGTGGATTTTTTTTTAATTTTACAAATAGAGTTAAGAAGCCATAATACTTTTAATTAATATTTTTAAAATGAATATTCAGCATACGAGACAAGTACCGATTTTTATTTTAAATCCACGCTAAATTTATCAAATAATAATATTATAGGAAAAATACCTAAGAGTCTGTTCTCTTCAAATTAAATAAAGTAAGAAGAACAAATTCCTCAGTCTCTTCAGTTAACAAATGTATAATTACTGAAAGTAAGAGCCGTACATATCACCTAAATCTTGAACATTGGGACATAACTGTCAAAATGATTAATCATACATTGAAAGAATATATATATTTTTTACTATAGAGTAAATAATTTATTTGAGGTATATTATATATAAAATATATATGGAATCAACGACTACAGATGGAAAACGAGATTGTCAACTTATTGTGTCCAAGTATATCAAAGATAAGCATAATCCCCTTCGGTCAAAAGAAATCCAAGGTAAAAGTGAATGCTTGCTTACCAAGTACTTGCGAATTTCCTTTAGATCCATAAACTTCAGATTACAAGACATCCCAGTCCATTCAAATATTTTTTTGATTAAACTACGGTGATTACAAAATAATATATGTTCTAAATACTCTCAACTACCATGCTGCAGTCGCTGGTATTCGAACCCGTGACATCTATGAACAACAATAATTCATTTGACCACTGAGATAAGATGGTTTGTGCCCCAATCCATTCAAATCTATCCGAAAGGCATATTGCATTCTAGAATATGAATAAAATTACTCCTGATTTATTTTCATCTCTTCTTATTTTTGTTTGATTTTCATGTAATTTTAGCCAAAACCCGAAGTGGGCAACGGCCTAAAAAATAGTTGAATTAAAAGGCACGGGTATTTGGCGGTCAAATGTCAATGGAACTAAAAGCATGAGAATTGATTCAGTTGACCGTATCTTTGAATAAATGGGAACTTTCATAAATTTTCAAACACCAATAAATTTTTTTCCTTATTACAAATAAAACGAAAAAGGAGGTAAGCTTTAAGGAGATATGTTTTGTTCCACGATACTTTGTTTTCTAGGATGATTTGTTTTAATATTTTAATAATTTATTAGTTTAAAATTTGTTTAAAAGTTTCAAATATTTTTTTTTGATCTTTTATATCGTTTTAATCCTTTTTTTTAATAATTATTCAATAAATTGATTATATCACATGGCTGAAATTATTTCAACTCATTTAAATATTTTAGTATATATCTCTTAAAAAAAGAATTTATGCTTCTAACATTTTTAAATCTTTCATAGATATCTGCGTAACCGTTAGACAAATAGCTGCCATGTTAATAAAAATAACTGCATTCATCACAAAGTAATTTTAGAAGCTCCAGTTGTGTTTTATACTCTACAACTTCTTCTAGAACATTTTGTTTCATATAATTATTCATTTGTACCTTACCTGCTTTACACCTTTATATGTTCGGACTATTCGTTTTGAAAGAAGAAATGCATATTATATCTTTTATATATTTGTGCGCGCGCGCATATAGACTGTATATTTAACATTAAAGTGATTGAACTGGCTAACCATGAATTTCCAGTAGGGAAAGAACGGTCCCAAATTAGGGAATTTTCTTTCTTTTTTGGCAAGGAAACGTATCAATTATTCTTGAACTACAAGTATCAAATGGCAGCGTTTGCAACAAACATGGAAAAACAACACTTAAACAGGGTTGATATTCATAACTGCAAAAGGGTAGTGAGAATGCCGACTCAATTACGTCTTCGATGCCTGCAATTTGTGTACACATATCTGCAACTTCAGGTTTAACGATAATTAGTCATCTGCATCAGCTTGCTTGTTTGCAATGTTGTTTGAGAGCCAGTCAAGCCCCTCATATAGTCCTTCACCAGAAGTGGCGCATGTGCTCTGGATATACCTGCAAAATGTTTTATCCAGAAGGTGACATATGGATCCAAATATAGAGAGGGTACGCAAATAGTGAAAGATTTCATCATCTTACCAATGGCGCTGGCGGAGAGAATGAATGGCGGGCTTGTCAGTAATTTCGGCAGCATTCATAGCATTAGGAAGATCTTGTTGTTGGCAAATACTAGAAGCACAGCATCCCTCAGTTCATCCTGTAAATGCACATAAATAATATGTTAGATTTCAGGACGAGAGACTCCAATCATTTCACAAAGCATGCTCATGGGAAACATTGAGCCTGCAAAAGAAACTTTGTTGACCTCGTTCAACATCCTGTGCAACTCATCTATAGCTTCAACCACATGATCAGGATCGTTTCTATTGACCACAAAAATAAGTCCTTGTGTGTTTTGGAAGTAATGTCTCCACAATGGTTGGATCTGTATAGAAAATCAAAGCCAATAAGCCAGTTGAAAAGTTGAGATAAACAAAAACAATAAGGACTTCTTTGTTATTCTAAAAGATCTAACAAGATCAAAGATATACTAAAAACATAAGGTCCAATTTTGACCACAAAGCATCAAATTTTGCATAGGCTAATGAACATGTAGTATATGTTCTCTTTTATGGAACTAAATGTTAAGGCTAAGCTACACGGGCTCAATGTATCAAATACGGATGTGTGCAACAAAGGCATGCCCAATTTCCAATCCCCCATCCCTTCTATATTTGGATAATTATTCCCTCGTCAAAATATGTCACTCACATATGTTGGGAATAAGTACTTAAGAAAAAAATATTGTTTGGATAACATAGCATCGAGGATATCAAGATGCTTAATTTCTAACATAATATATGAAACCAGAACAATGCCACATCCATAATCTTTCCAGTTTCAAAAGGAAGAGCAAAGAATTTACGGAAAGAACATATTAAAAGACACCATAGATTTTCCTTTCCAAATCTTTACACTCAACAGTAAAAATATCAGAATAAAACAAAACCCAGTTACCTTGTCCTGGCCACCACCCACCCACACAGTAAAGCTGATGTTTTTGTATTCAATCGTCTCAACATTGAAACCTACATGATTTTAACATATCACAATTAGCCATAGCCTACATGAAAGAAAAAAAAAACATTTGAATAACAAATATCATACTTTATTAGGCTAAATGTGACTTACCAATGGTGGGAAATGGTAGTGACGATCTCTCCTAACTTGAGCTTGTAAAGAATGGTAGTTTTACCAGCAGCATTAAGTCCAACCATCAGTATACGCATCTTTTCTTCTTGGCGAACTTTGCGAAAGACAGCCCCGTTTTCACTTCTACCAACCAGCAAACAACAAATTCCACGTATCAATTTCCATAATCATCAATTTAATTTGAAAGAAAAATAAATAGTTTATTCAAGATCAAAGACTATCCAAAATACATTGGTTAAAATTCAAAACAAACATAGTATCATGTGCTTGAATTGATACAGATCAACAAATCTAAATCCAATCAATTACGACATAAATTCGATTAAAAAAATGCATATCGGAACAAGTTAAAAAACTTACGAGATAAGATAAATATATGCAATGAATTGCCAATTGAAGAGATTGAAGACAATTTATAAACAAATTTGACGTCAAAATTAAAAGAGAAAGGCAGATCGACCGAGATAAGCTAAATTAAAACACAATAAAGTTAGAAAAGAAGATCTTCATTGGTTTTTAGAGGAGAGAGAGAGAGTTACCTGAGAGAAATGCGAGTGATAAATAAGCACGGTCGAACGAAGGAGAGAAGCGAAGATCTACACTTCTCTCCATCAAAGCCAAAGGAGCTGTACTTTAGAGTTTTCAAACGGAGTTGGAGATTGTGTATTTCTAGAACAAAATCAAGGGTAAACTACAAATTGCATCACTATACTTTCTTTTTACTCTTATATTGGTTATCAAAATTTAAATATTTTAATCTATTCATTAAACTTTCACTTTACTCCTATTTTGATCACACCGTTAACGAAGTTATGAATGAATATATTTTTTAAAATTATGAAATAAATTCAAAATTTTCTTATTTTTGTGAAAAATGACTACTTTTGAATTCACTTTGATTTCTCGACGACAAAGTATCTTCTTCTAAATTTAAAAATGGAGGGGAGGGTAGGGGAGGTGAGAAAGGAGAAAATTCGTTGTATATCTTGATTTCACGTTAACCAAATAGTAAATATTATATATTAAAATGGTTTAGGGTTTCATGAGTATAAATTTGAGGTTGAATTTCGTGAGTTAAGTGATTTAGATAAAATCTATATTGATAGAGTGATAGGAGGTGATGAAGCGAGTTCGTTAATACCTTGAGTGAATGAAGAAGACGTCAGAGAATAGTAATTATAGTACCGATGTGAGACATGAAGGAAATTGGAAAAATTTCATCTTTGAATGAAGAAGATAAAATAAAAAGAAAGAAAAACGATGCGAATGTCACATCAATAAAAAATTGTTCACATCATCGCACATGATTGTCATGTCACTATTTTGTTTTTGATCTAATGCTTGAGTGAATAAAATAAGAGTAAATTAAAAGTTTAGTGAAAAAATGATTATTTTTAAATTGTGGTGACTAAAATAAAAAAAATTAATTGAAGAAATTTATATTCACCCATGAAATAAGATTAATTTTATGGTTGTCTGACATATGTCTGAATAAATGCTTATTCATTTAATTACTTTTCATAAAATTCTCTAAATAAATGTTTTAAGATTTGGTTAAATCGAAATAAAAAATTATAGATGTGGATTATTTAACAAGAAAAAACAAAGAGAAAAAAAAATCTCCTTTCATGGATAAAGAGAATAAAATAAAGTCACCTTAGAATTATATACCTTAAAAAATACAAGTGATGAAAACATAGTATTATTTTCTTAATATTTCTGTAATAGTATTTATTCTGATTTTAGTATGAATAAATTTTACACACCTAACAAATAATATTACTTGAATACTGGGTCTGAAGATCTACGTTAAGGAAAATGAAGCCCATAAAAGGAACGTAGGGAGATGATAATCAACCCACGTTTTCGAATCAATCGTATGGCTTTATATCTCCAAATTGATGCTGCCAAATAAAACAGACGGCCCAAGATTCAGTCCCTGCTTCTTCGAGGAATTTCAGGTTTTATCTATGGCCTAACAATAATGTACTGAGAAATTTGTGCTCATTACGGTTACCTTGGAGTTGAAAACTTGAAAACTGGGCACTGCCTCTAGATCTTGTAAATGCTACTGCGCTTGATCAGCATGGCAGCGTTCAGCCATTTGCAAATCTATTTGACTTTATCCACTGATGGATCGATCTAGGCAATCCAGACAGGAAGTCGATGCCGGCAAACTGCAGTCTTTATTTGGATTTCCCTTCTTCTTATTGGTATTTCAGAGTGCAGTCGATGATTTGAATTCAGACACCGGAGGAGTATTAGCCGGCACCGGTCTCCCTATTGGCCTTCCTCACTGCATCACATTTTCCCATAGTGTAGTGTTTTAGTGTAAGAATTTAGAAGATGAAAGTTAGGCCATTATAAGCTATCTTTGCATGCATTTTTTTAGCCTTTTGATCTTCAAGTTGTGGCTGTGTTATGGTAGGTGAACACTTGAACCTGAGTTATTCAAGCCCATATTTGGACTCATTGGCCCCAAGCTGAGTAAACTTCGCTGTAAGTGGTGCAATAAAAAAGAAGGAATTACGTAGTATCTGTAAAGAAACGAGAACTGCTCTAAAACATGCAACCATTATCTTCGTAGATGTATACGTCATAAAGTAGAAATTCTTTGACAAACATCGTTTTACTGTCAAATAATTTTTTAAAACTCAAAGGAAATAGAAAGAGTAATAGAAAGAGAGAGTAAATGTCGATCAACTGGGACTAAATAAATTGTTGATGTAGAAGTATCTATGCGAAAAATTAAAAGTAAATAGGAGGATTTTTTTTTTTTTGTAAAATTGGTACTTTGTATTCAAGATCATAAAGTACACCACCCAAAGATCTCGTTAAAAACCCTCCTAAGCCTAATTGAGGGAAAAAGAGTGAACCTCGGGATGGAAAGAATATACAGTCTTGAACCTTAATTCATCAGAGCAGAAGTACAAAAAGACGAAGCTAAAACAAACCATAATATCTACACAAATAAAGGTACATACTGCCCCTACAAGAAAACTAAATTGACATACACACTACCAACCAATGCACATTTCCTGCTAAAGCCTCCGAGCAACATAATCTGGAAACAGAACCATTGCTTCAAGATACCAGGCACCAAACAATAATGCTGAAACAGCAAACTAGAAGGGTGAACGTAGAACGGAACAATTGTAAACAGATAACACAACCTGCAGAAAAATCTAACGCCATGGATAAGATATGCATCGACCAGGGAAACTCAGCAAAATTGCAACAGAAACACGAACAATAATTGAGCTATCGCAAAATATATAAACCCGGACAGACTGATAATCGAACCAAAACTGTATGAGGAACCGCCAACTCAGCATATAGGGAATGCTTCCTGGGCAAGGAGCAGTAAATAGGAGGATTTATTGACGGAAATTGAATAAAGTAAAATAAAGATTTTAATCTAAATAAAAAAAAGGGTAAAAGATGAGATGAAAAATCTTGATAAAAGCAGTCTCAGGCTTTGCCTCAATTTCCGTCGATCATTGAATAAGATTATTCACTTCGAATTCATGCCGATTACAGTGTACAAGGTCCAATCCTTGTAACTTGTTTTTCTCTCTGGTAAACCAATAAATCCAAAATCTATCTTTGAAATTCAATCTTTTTGTGAACTAACTACAACTATCGTCTCCAACACCAACTCATTTTAAAGATTTGAAAAAAAATCTGACTCGGACTATGTTATCTCAATGAGAATTGAATTCGATCTCAATTTCCCTTAGCGGATCGTCGTTAAATGTGTTCACATGAAGTAGAATGTGCTACAAGTCGATCCTTCCTCCCAACTTTAAATCGAAACAACTATCAAGTCAACAAACTCTTTTTTAATTTGAAAGTGTTTTGATTTTTTAAGGAAAAGTCGATTGACAATTCAATTTTGCAGAAAATTGAGAATGTAACCCGAAGGGTATTAAATGTTTTTCAATTCTCACGATTGAAATTGAGTCATCGCTTCAGCCTTTGGCTTATGAAAAAATTGTCTAAGTATGATAGAAATCATACATAACATTTTTTAAAGAAAATAAATTGAAAACTTAAAAAGAAAAAATGTAAAGAAAAAAACTTTTATAAAATGAAGAAAACAAAGAACAAAGTAATTTGAGAAATCTGAGATATATTTGATGTTTACTCCAAACTAAAACCCTAAAAATAACTTAGAAAATTATAAAGATAAATCCTAAAAATTACAAAAGATAATACTTTAAACTATTTAAATTAATTCCTAAAAATATTCAAATATATCAATAGGATTTTTAAAAAGGGTTGTAATGGGGCTTACGTTCGGGTAGGAAAAATGCCAAAGTCGAGTTAAATTCAAGACAAATGAGAAATGTATTTATTAAGAGGAAGAAAAGCAAAACCAATTCAAAGGAACAAAATCAAACAACCAACTTTTTTCTTTCCTTTTTTTTTCTTTTTTCTTTTATTTTTTTCTTTCAAAATAGATTTTTTAACAGGATTTATTTTTTCCTATTTTGCGCACGGCTCGATCTTTTTATTTTTTTGAAAATTTCCTTCTTCCTAATATTATTTTTCCGAAATAAATCTACCTTTGTCCTGAAAAGGGTAACAAAATAGGGTAAAACGGAAATGGCTTGGGTTAATAATAGGGTAAAACAAAGAAAGAATATAAGGCTCAAAATTGGTTTATCTAAGGGAAAATAAACAAAGGGTAGACAATTTTTTTGGGAATGAAAATTGGATAAATCCTAAGTGCGTCTATCACACTAAAGCATCATATTCAACCATGTAATCTCGACAAGTATTACGCTAAAAATTCTAGAATGTTAAGAAATGGTTCGACACACTCAATGAAACAAAGAGCAATAATGAAAGAATATACTCGTTAGACTAAAAAGTCACATGAAAGGGTGAAATAATTCATGCAACAAATCAATTAACAAATACATGGGATGTCAAGTAAAAATTTCAAAGAAAATCAATAGTCATGCCAATTAGCTATAATGCAACCTAAATTCCAAAAAAACAAGATCATAATTTATAAGGAAATCAAAGAAACAAAGTAAAATGTAGGATAGGCAACAAGAAATTCCAACATATTTAAATCAAGAAAGCTTAATTTAAACCAATCGAACAAGCAGAAAAAATCTGATGCAATGTCTACTCTCACTTAAATCATATTGTCCCAATATTAAAATGAAAGTACACGAGAGACAACAAAAATACTCTCCGTTGGAACTCAATGGAAGATGGATATCTATTTTGGACTTGTGTCTAGAAAACAGTTTCTGATCTTAAGATACTATTCAACAATTAGATTAAATCGTAATACAATCGGTTGTTAGTAGGGATGGATTTAAAGGCGACTGTTAATTTTAAATTCCTATGTATTTTAAATATTTTTTTATTAAAAAATATTTTCACCTCCTTTTAAAATTATATAAGTTATTCTTTTCTTAAAATTTTATAAGTCTTTAACATAAAATCGTGTGTCCGTCTTGGTTGTTAGAATCAAATATGATCTCAAATATATTGAAAATCTTAATATGCGATTAATCCAATCATATTTATTATTATCAATTATTTTTTGAAATTTATTATAAAAATATTATTTTATTAAGTTAAGGTGATTATAAATTAGTATTTGTTCTAAATACTCTCAACCATTTGATAATGAACACTC